ATTACAATTTATCCTTTCCACCTTTCTCTTCCTCAACCTCATTCTGCATTGATGATAGATTTCTCCACAGAGAAATTTAAACACCACCTTCACTAATACACAGTAGAAATCGTAATTGTCAATGTGAGCTCTGGTGTCAATAGAAAATGAGGGTGTGAGGAGTGGAATGTGATAAAATGTCCTCCTAGACAAATCTAGGTTTGCTATTGACCCAGTATCACTGAAGATGGTGAGAATAATGACAAAGTGTGCATGTTGGTGTAATATACAATTTATTAATGAGGCCAGATATGAATAGACTCTTTAATTGTTCAGTTACTTGATGGGGTTTTATGATGACTATCTTATACTGTATTGAAAGTACAACTTTGCTAGTGTAGCAACCAGTAGTCCTGGGATTTCAAAAAGCCCATACGGGTAAACTAGCTTGCCTGGAATGTAAACTACGATTTTCCACTGATAGGGTTTTTATTGTTATTATTTTTAAGTGCATTACATTATTAAAGGGACATTGTTCTCTTGGACACATCCAGACTATGCTTTCATAAAAATAGGAAAGATTAAAATTTTATCTCTAAATACAACAGTTACAACAGTTTCATTTAGTGACTATTTGAAGTTACAACAGCACTGAAAAAAAGTGACTTATGAACATTTTTCACACGTATGACTGTTGCAGCATCTCCATGGTCATGTGATCAAAATTCAGCCACTTGAGAACTGAAATAAAATATATGATAGCTGCAGTCTCTAGGGGTCACGTGATCACCTTAGGCGACCTTCTGACAAAGTCAATGGGGAAGCCAGATTCACTTTACAACCATGTTACTAACTTTACAGCTGCAATGACTCGCTTAATAATTGTGGCAAGATAAGCAGGGATGCGATATGACAGGGTTAACTATCGGTTTTGGATTTATGAGCTTCCCTGCATGCTGAGAGCCACGCGCCTGTAAATCGTCATCAGCAGGCTGCATGCAGAGACACAGCCTTTGAAACAGCCTCTTTTTCTGCCTTTTTAATTGCAGCTGTGCCTCATTTGGCAGCTGAAGTTGAAAAATCAGGAAATAAAGATCAGGTAAGAGCCCGGGTGGGCAGGTGGGCAAAAACATCAGACATAGAACTGATTCTATGTCTGCTGCTCTTCAGAGCTACCGGTTCTACAGAGGTGAACAGAACCGGTAGAAACCCACCCCTGAAGACAGGTCATAAAAGGGCAAAATTCACCTAACCAAGGTCTTGCTTAGCAACAAAAACTTTGGGCTCAATTGTGGTTGTGAGTCAAGGACAATCCTGTATTGCATTCCCCCTGCCCCCAATTCAGGATGAGGATTGGCTTTGATGGCAGGAAGTGCAAGCTGTACACATTCAGTGGTGGAATCTTTTTTATGATTACTCTTCAGAAAAGCAGGTGTGGATCTTGTTCAAATCAGCCCCTCACTAACACAGTTCCCTCTTTTTAGGCTCTTTGAAGCAATACCACATTACACAAAAGATAGATGCGCTTAGAAAAGAGTTTTAGCTTTCAGTAAATTTCTGTATGCTACTCACGAGACTGCTAACTGCATTTTTCCAAATCTAACATTTTACTTTAAAAAAAAGTATTTCTCTTCTTTTTATTCAGTCACAAGAGAAGCAATTGAAAGGGAGTCAAGTTGTGCTGTACAGTGCGTATAATAAGTGAATGAATACAATGGTGCCACTGAAAACATCCAAGTTAAAATTAAACAGAATAAAAGCAGAGCCCCCATTGTCCACTCTTGAGCACCCAAATAAAGGGGAAAAAAACATAGACAATGTATTCCAAATAAAAAGTTCAGATATTTTTAAGAGATACAATATAGTAGAGATGGGCAGACTGAAATATCCTGCCATCCGTTGATAGATAAATTCAAACAAGCTCATCCAGGGATGAAAAATGGAAGAGAGCTGAATTTAATGTGTCTACATAGAAAAGTGAGGATAAAATCTAAAAAAATCAAAGGAATGACTATGAGAGTGGACAGATCACAGAGACAGAGATGGTGTCAGGAAAATCAAAGCTCAGAATGGTTCAAGGTGTGCATAGGAAGTGATTTAAAACAAAAGAAACTATTAATTGTTCAGGGAACACAGAAGAGAAGGTGGGGAAGCATTTACAGTATTCAATTCCTAACCTGGGTCAGACTGAGAAAAAGAGTTTACTAGAGAAATATAAAGAAAGCAATTAAAAATAATTTCAACATGAGCTTGATAGAAACACAGGAAATATCTACTGATCTTGATTGAATTCAGATTTTCAGGACCAGATAGAGTGCATCAAAGCTCCTGAAGAAAGCTGGCCAAATCTTGGTTGGTTGATTACATTTATTCATTAAATTTATATGCCTCTCATATTACTATTGAACTCTGGGACAGATTACAAAATGATAAAAATATAAAATAATTAAAATTAAGAAAGATTAAATAAAGGCTAAAAACCAAGAGGACGGCCAACATAGGGATGGGGATCTTTTCTCTATCCTGTCAGCCACCCCAGCATAGGATACCCGCATTGGAACCCCAGGCCAACAGGCAAAGCCAGATTTTAAAACTCTTCTGTAAGGCCAAGACGAGCATGGGGTGAACCTCCCTTCCAGCAGAATAGGGTGGGAGCCAGCAGGAAAGGCTCTTCTTTTGGACCACCAGCTGAAATTCTTATCTTAAACAGGCCTCTTCTGCTGGGATGAGCCAATCCTATTAGGAGTAAGATGGCTCTCAGATATTTTTGTCCTTGAAAAATCTGGAGGAGGGGACATCCACTGAGTGGAGGATGGCAAGCATTCCTATTCCCCCCACCCAGAAAATTTGACACACTAGAAGGAAGTCAGTTTGTCATCAATAACTTTCAAAGGCAAATAGTCTTCACCATGCAAGACCTCCTCAGATGCCAGAAGTACTTGTGGAATGTAATAACACTGAGAAACTTAGCACTGTACAGCAAAACAATGGTCTTTTTCAGAATTTTGAGGAACCTGGATGTAGAGGTATATACAAGACATCTTTATTCAATCAAGATGCTGATACCTGTCTTTAGAACTGGAATTCTACATAGCTGTAATGGCAGCAGGTGGCAAGTGATCTTGGATTTCAGACAAGACAAAAAGAAAAAAGCAATTCCCTATGGTGAAAATGACAATTTGCCATTTTATTGGCAGTGGATGATGGGAAGGCATTGCTCACTTGATTTTGCTATCAGTACTTCAGCCAGCAAGGTAACCATCAGACTTGTACAGTAGTTTAGTAACATCTGAATTGGCATCTTTAGGAAGGAAAAGTCCTATTCACAAGTATAAATCCACTAAAGGGTGATATTTACTAGGATCAAGTACATAAGAGAGGGGATTCCAGGATTTTTGTTTAATTTAAAAGGGGAAAAATAGAAACGTTCAGGGCAATGAATGGAGGTAAGGCCAGAGTAATTTCTAGCAGGTCTTCATTCAATGCTGCCTGTGGGGCAAATGAACTCCCTGGCTGACACAGCTCTTTTTATAGGAAAATGATCAGCCAACAACCAATCAGGAGATAGTATTTTCCTGCTCCAATAGAGGACCAGAATGAGAACTTCAACTGACAATTCTACCCCATATACAGTATATACAATACATAACAGAACGTTTCCAAATGAATGAGTACTTTTTAATTATGTTCTAATTCTTGATCCTTCAATGCTGTTTTTTGTCTTCTATACTACCCAAATTTTTGGATAATTCAAAAGCTGTCATGTGTAAGCTTCTGTCGCAGCGCTTTGCTTTTCGAAAGGAACTGTTGGAGTCGGGTTGCTAGGCAACGCGCTCCCGTCTCTGTAAGCCCCAGCAAAATCACCACTTGGCAAAGAGGTAAATTGAAAAAAAATCCCAGTCATAGAGCCATCATTTCCGGCTCCGATTAGACTCCTCGAAACTTGAAGGAAGGGTGGTGAAAGTACGCAGCCAAACCTATATATACTCGTTCAACACACCTTTTTGTGGCAATGCCTTCATCACGTGGGGCGAATGGCAGGTTATCGATCCCAGTTCGACATCCTCTTATAGCCTTAAGGCGTGAGAATCTTTTATTTACCTCAAATATGATAGATATTATACTGTCTTTATTCCGAGGAGGCAAAATACGATAGATTAACCTTAAGCAATACGCCCATACCTTGGCGTTTTGGTCAAACATTGATTTCTGGAGATGTGTAAATTATATTCCTGTTTTTAACAACAACACAGCAGGCATAGGATGTTCAAAGTCTCCTTGCTCTCTCCATCACATCTCCTCTATGCTGGAGATGGGCGCTTTAGATACATGAAATGAAAAGATACATTTTGTAAAATATGCCAAATGAAAGTACAAACGGACCTTAGCGGTCTTATACTCCTCTCTTCTAAGGGATGTTTTTGAACCTTTTACTCGGGACAGCCAGAGTTTGTAGCAGGACAGAAAACTCGATTTTGCCATAACCTGCAGGATTTGTTTGCACGAAATTTGTAAATAAATATGAGCTTGTTTGATGCACAGGTTGAAAAAAAGCACAGGTTGAAAAAAAAAAGTGGCCAAAGAAATGCTCAGAACTCTACTGCAAAAATCCGGTAGAACACAAAGTGGTTGCAGGGGTGAGTGTTGTGGGCTCCTTCAGTTTCCTCTAGGGCAGGGTTTTTCAAGTTTGGCAACTTTAAGGTATGTGAACTTCAATTCCAGAATTCTCCATGATGGCTGGGGAATCCTGAGAGTTAAAGTGTGCACGACTTACACTTACACACACCAGTTTAGGAAAGGCTCATATGTGAAGTTAGGCTACCGGTTGCAATAGAGCAGTGTGGACTTCAACTCCCAGAATCCCCCTGGCAGCATGGAATTGTGGGATTTGGAGTCCGCCCATCCTAAAGTTGCCGAGGTTGAGAAGCCCTGCAACAGAGAACCCGAACTCTCGTGGAAATGCCGGGGAGATGCTACTTGCGGGAGCGCGCGGCATGCTGGGAAACGACCAGCGCGGAATCCTTTGGACCGAGCAGCCTCCTGATTCTTCAGGGAGCCGATCGGAGAAAGCGGGCTGACTGGCGGAATCCTGCATCCACCTCCCTGGAAACCTTTGAGGGGCCCTGAGCGTGGGCCCCCCAATACGGTAAGGAGGGGTTTACTTTACAGGGTTTTGCATAAGACGACGCGGAGCCCCACTCCAATTATTCCTCCAAGCTGTTCCCCCTCCGCTTTTTATTTTGTTTCGTTTTCTTAAAGCGTCATTACTTTTAATGGGGTGGTGGTGGTGGTTTAGGAGAACAGATCCCACACTTTTCTTGAACAGGAGCAGACTCCACACCGAGGTGCTCTGCATTAGGAAAAGCGGTGCACTAGCGCCTTAGGTGAAGAGAGAGAGAAAAGCAACTTACCTCTTTTCGCATGTTAAATATGCGCGTGCACCGTAACGAGAAAGTAAGTAGGGATAGGGTTTTTTTGTATTTCTTTCGTGCAGTTAGAGGAATTGCCCAGTTGGATGGGCAATATAATAGATAGCAGCAGCATCGAATTAGAATCAATCCCGGTCACTGCTTTAGTATATTACGATGGTCGTATCTTAAATGTTGATGTCTCTGAAAAGATCCTAGGTATATGTGCATAAAATTAATACCTGCTGGTTGTTAAATATTTTGTAAAACAATGAACTTATATATTCAATAACAGTATACTACTGAATATGTTGTGGGGGGGGCAGTCGAGAAGTGAGAGAACATTGCTGCTGTGAAATCCTGTTTGCAGAGATCTAATCTAATCTAGAGATCCATCTAATCCAGGAGAACTGTTGAAATTGATGATTTAATTTATGATTAAAACTGCTTCCTGTTTTGGATTAAAGAAGGTGGAGTGATAAACATCTTGACACATACAAAGGAATTTGGTACTTATTTTTAAAGCAACTATCCCAATATTTCAACACAGATATCTGGGATAAGTTTTATGCATATTTATCTTTCTAAATTACATGCCAGACCTGTATTTCAGAGCAACCAGGTCCCAGTTACTGAGAAAATTGCTTCTTTCATCCAGGATATAGCAATAACACTTAGATTTATATACCACTTCACAGTGCTTTACAGCCTTCTCTAAGCGGTTTACAGAGTCAATATATTGCCCCCAACAAACTGGGTTCAGTAATGAAAAACACTTAAACAAGAGGTGGTTTTGCTTTTGAATCTTTTAATAAAAACAAGCTTATCACATATTATTGAGGAATTAATTCTGGTTTGCTATATTCTGACTGATGTTGAACTTGAACTCCCATCCCATATAATATGATTTGTAGTTGGTGTATTCTTATCCTGTTTAGTATTGACTAATTTATAATAGGCTGGGTTGTTTTATGTTTTATTTTTCTGGAAAAGGAATTAGAACAGCCTGACTTTGCTTCCTCAATAAAGTATAATACCTTTGTGAAAGAATCTTGAAATCAACTCTGGAGAAATCCACAAGGTAATCTAGTTAATATCCTATTATTCATTTTTGGAAGTTTACTTGGGTTTGCTTGAAATTCTCTTCTATACCACCAGGAATTCTGACTTTTAAAAATATCTTGCCACTCTGTATACATGCTGGAGTAGAGAAAGTTCAGATGTATTTATAGCATTGAAAAGATTTATAAGGCTACTCATCTTAATACAATATTACTTTGGCTGCCTAACAACAGCTACATAAAGAAAACACTGTATATAACTAAGATAACATTATATTCCCACCCCAAATATATATGTGTTAAACTCAACTCCCAGCTGGGCTAGTGATTAGCTAGGGGAACAAGTCTTAATGGCCTTATAATATTTTCCTCAACTGATATGTGCAGTTTAATGTGTGTATTATAATGGAAATTTGTTTAAATTCATTTTATGTTCACTGCCAGGAGTCATTTGTTGAGATGGGCATCCAAATTGAATAAATATATAAACAAATAAATATGCTCACTTCAATGGATTCATTTCAATGAATTAATTCAAAGAGAGAATTTTATGAAAGATTTAACTCCTAGAATGTTTTTAAAATTGATTTCTCAAAATGGCTTCCCCATTAAGAAATTTTGAATCTGTAAAGATCATTGGTTTTTGTTGTTGTTAATTGCATTTTTCAGTGACTTAATTTCCTTTGTTGGAAGCCAAATTAGTTAACCAGTTTCAAAAAAAATAGTGCAGGAACATACTGATAGAAATCTGCAGCAGGCAGGATGAGAGGTGATCCTCTTTTGTTATTTGAAAGTTTGTTATCAGATGTAGTTCTTTATTTTGAGCCGTTTAAACTGCTGTAGTTTTATATAGATTTTAAAGCTAATTTTAAATTGTTTTAAATTATGTTTATTTTTTGAGGTGCTTAGGTTAGCAATGCGATGTTAGCATGAGAAAGAAGGGTGGAACATACTTTTAACAAAGAAAAAGGGAAAGATGAATCGCAAGCTATTTAATAAGAATGCATGAATCCCTGGCTGGAACAGATGAACTGCCTTTTTTTTGTCTGTTTCAGTTATGAGAAGGCACCATGGATCAATATAGCATTCTTGGCCGTATTGGAGAAGGAGCCCATGGCATTGTTTTCAAAGCCAAGAACATAGAAGTAAGTGGAATTCCTCATGGGGCCAATGTACCAGCGTTTGTTTTTTTTCCAAGTTCTGAGGATGAACATCTGCTTCCAATTCTTATTTTGCTCCCTTACCTGTCAGACTGGAGAAACTGTGGCCCTGAAGAAAGTGGCTCTCCGCAAGCTGGAAGATGGGATCCCCAATCAAGCCCTGCGAGAGATCAAGGCTTTGCAGGAGATTGAGGAAAACCAGCATGTAAGTAGCTTGTGGAAATGACGATTCATGCGTTAACTGGATCAGTTAACTGGATTCTCAAATTCCATCTTAGGCCAGTCCTCCAGTAAACTAACATTTCAGAACAAATTAGCCTGGTTTACATATTGCACTAAGGCAAAATAACCTGAGGGAGAATGTTGGGAATTCAGATAAAGATTATTGATGAACTGATCTATTATAACTTTGCCATGACTTTCCCTTTCACTGAAACAACTTGCTGCCACTTCCTTGGTCTTCAAGAAACAGGTAAAACCCCAACTATAATAATTACTAGATTTTTATCTAATAATTGGATAACCTATGCCCCATTGAGTCATTGTTAAACAGAGAAGCAGGATTACCACAGCAGTGGGAGTGGAAGCAATTTCCTGCCAGTTTCACACACAAACTTGTTTTGGAGCACTAACTGACTGACTTAAAGAAGCTTAATGAAATGTGTCCAGCATCAAAATACAGTACCGTAGGTGTTGGAGGGAATAATATAACTTAAGGCTTTGTAAACACCTTCAGATGGCTCATGCTGTGTCAGACATACAGTGACTTAAATTGCTATACTGAGGATGGATGCCTAGGTAGATCTTCATGATATAAATTGTGGGACAGGTCACCCAATATTGAAGCCAACTTGTCTTAACTTCTCTCTTATAGGTGGTGCAACTAAAAGACGTTTTCCCTCATGGCACAGGGTTTGTGCTGGTATTTGAGTATATGCTGTCTGATCTGTCCGAGGTGATCCGCAATTCTGAACAGCCTCTTACTGAAGCCCAAGTGAAAGGCTACATGCTGATGCTGCTCAAGGGTGTAGCTTTCTGCCATGCCAACTCTATTATGCACCGGGTGAGGCCTGGTCAAGCTTGACCATACAATGGCTTCTTTCTCCCAGGAAGATCACACCTTGTTATTTGACCCATTGATGCTGTGCATCCCATTCTTCCTTAGCTTCTAAGATGTTTTCAAATTCTGGCCTTGTCGTTTCAGGATCTGAAACCAGCCAATTTGCTGATCAGTTCCACAGGGCAATTGAAAATTGCTGATTTTGGCTTGGCCCGAGTGTTCACCAGTGATGGAGATAGACTATATAGCCATCAAGTGGCCACCAGGTAAATAACAATGGGCATGGGATATGGATTGAGCATTTTGCCAGGGAAGAGAGAATCAAACTGGAAGATGCCTACATCTCCAATTCATAGCCACAGCGAACATGTTGAGTGCTAATGTAAGTTGGACAAGATAGTTCAGTGACTTTCCAAGGGGGTCTTAGATTCCAAGTTAAGACCTTATTCCAAGACTCTTGAAATCAGTCCTAAATGTTAAGAAAATGCTGGAGGCTTGTTGGCACCAGACTTGAAAATTATGGGGAGGAGAGTTGAGTTTCATTGTGAGAGATAAATAGAGTTGTGTACAATATAATTTGTGTACTCTTCCTAATTAGGTGGTATCGGGCTCCCGAATTGCTGTATGGTGCTCGAAAGTATGATGAAGGTGTAGACCTGTGGTGAGCAGCTTTGGTCTTTCATGTAGTGAGTCTGGATTATTCTATTTCTGGGCTGTTTTAAGAGGGCAGCCTTGGAGTGTTAGAGATGCAGTTCTTGAACTGACTGAAAACCTTGATCACAGTGCCATCAGATGTAATTGATATGCACGGTAGATGGGAAATTGCTAATGGAATCCAATGCAATTATATTTTTTAAGGGAGGAAATTATAAAGCAAATGTTGAAGGAAAGTTCAAAAAGAATCCAGGTTTCTCCAAAATGCTAGGAGATCACTCAGAATCACAATAATCAACATTTACCTATAAAATATTACCTAGAGCAGGAAAAGTGTTATTACCATCCTGATTAATCGACAGTGTTAAGGAAACTTGGAGAAAAGGACTCTTCCTTCAGAAAAGGGAAGCCTTTCCCAAATGAGGAAAACAAGAAGGAATGCAAACTTATACAACAGAAATGGAAGGCTATACTTTCAGGGATCGTTTCTATAGTATCCAATCAGAGAAACGAACTCAAACACTGGAGGCTTTCAGGAAGAGATTGGACTGCCATCTGTCAGAAATGGTGTAGAGCAGGGGTGTCCAACCTTGGCAACTTTAAGACTTGTGGACTTCAACTCCCAGAATTCCTCAGCCAGC